TGACGATGAGTCTGTGATGCGACCACAGGCGGTACTCTACATCACCCCCACACTGATAGGGGAGGTTAATATGTGTTGGAAGTTTCAGCATTCCGGATTCCTTATGGGTCATGTCAGGGCTGGATTTCCTGGCGAAGGCTTGCCTTTCTTTTCCGACACCAACACAGTCACGACATGACGAATCTAACCAATATTTTGGGATGGCGTTTTAGGAGAACGCGGGGATGTTTCATTTGCGTTGGTTCTCACGCGAGAACTTGATACCTCACACGGGATATATGGCAATATATGGCAGACTGTTTCTGTCGATTTACGGATCACTGAGGCCTGTCACATCATACATTCATGTCTTGGAGTGTCAAAAAAAGCGACGAGCATATCCTGGGATGACGACGATTCCCGCGCTGACGAGTCGAGTATGAACAATATGACACGCGGGATTTGTCACGGTTCAACCATAATGACTTGTTGGGAATGCACGGCCAATATGGCGCATGGGACATGAGATGTGACTGGCAGGAACACATTTGGGATTATTCTTGTTTTGGGAATTACTATAGAGAGTGGACAGGGGATCGTCGACGACTCGGTTTTTTTTTACGCGCATACTCAGGGCGGGTGCAAATACCCTTATTTTTTACGATAGATTACACACACCCCCGCGCGCATTCGAGACGTCGATACACTTTTCACGTTCGCTGATGGATGGATCCTGGAGGTTCGGTCTATGATACAATCCGTACCGATATCAAGGATTTTTTATTTGGCTCTCACTGGTCTTTTATTGCAGGGTGTGGCCTTGGGGGTGGTTATGTCTTTTTTCTGCTTTTTGGCTTGGACGATATCCCACGAATGATTGCATATGGAGGAGGAGAAGAGAATCAGCTAGATTGGCGAGAGGAGTGAGGAGTGGTTTCTGCTTCACTGCTGTGCATCTTGGGTCTTGGTTTCTGTTCTTGCTGGCTCGCTCGATTATGAAGATGAGGTTGCAGAGCGAAGTGATGGCGAATGGTTGGCTTTTTTGCAATGGATGCGACAGCAGCGGGCTGGGATCGTCCTTTTTAATAGAGATGCCTTAAGAGATACCTTTTTTCTTTGAGTGTAATTATCCGCACAACCATAAAATGCTCAAGTGCACATATAACATTTATCCCATGATATTTCGGCTATTGTCTTGATATGTTCCCTCCCTTGCTATGAAATTGGCCAGCGATGAGAGAAGACGATCCAAACATAGCCCATTGATTTGATAGCTCTTATTGAAAAGAATACCCCGTGACCTATTGGTTTTCCAACCGAAGTAATGGAGGAATTGAGTTGACGTTTACAGCTGAAGTTAGCGACACCGCCATCACGCTAAACAGAGCAAGCGTAGATATGTGGGCAGAGCGGACGTGTCCTCCTATCCTATCCCGGACTTGCTCTTCACGTCTTGGCGTTTGGGTTATGGCAAGTAGCAATACTACTCTCCCTTTGTCACGGATGTGTCCGTTGCAAGTGTGTTGTCATATTTTGAGATTCTTATCGTGAGACCTACCTTACAGCGATATCGGGTATCACAGGTGCATACGAATATTTTGGAGAGAATCCTTTCGGAAAACCTTATCATTATAGCATTTCTACCTATCTCTTTTGTTTACCCTTCGAACAGCGGATTCGGACAGCCCAGATACATATCCTCTTCGGCCATTATACCCGAAGCCTGGCCGCGTCAACTCATGCACGCGCAGACTCCCTTCCCTCCGGGACTCATCCATTCCCGGTCCCGTTGAACTCCATTCGTCCAGCTAAAACAAAGCAAAGTGGTGATGAGACATGCGGCGGGAAAACGTCACATGATGATGATACAGAAACGCCGTGAAACAAATGGTAAAGAAAAAAAGAAAAGAAAGGGCCAGTCAACCTGCAGGCCATCCATCGTCATCATCCATCCTGCCATACACCCGATTCATCATCTTCTCGTAGTTAGAATAGAGCCCTTCCGCGGCTCACAAACCCCCGCCAGTCCAGTTTCCTGGGACTTGACTGCTCGCTCTAGAGCATTGTCCCAAACGTGTCATCTGTAGGGATGCGCTTCCGTGGGCTGCCGCCTTCCTCGGTGGCTGGCTTGCGATGCCGGAAGGTGAAACCAACGAAGAGACTCTTGCTCATCGGGTCATCACGCTCGGCCATGGTCTCGAGGGCCTGCTGCTTGTCGTGGACCTCCTTGTACTTGGCCATGTCAGCTTCGTTGCTGAAATCGTCAAAGTACCCAGCGTCCGTCTCTGAGTCCAGCTCGGGGACAAAGGGTGCTCGGGTCTGGCGAAGAGTCTCCCAATCGACTTCGGCGAAGTAGTGATGGTCGTAGATATCCTTAATGTTGGAGAATCGTCGCGTTTTGGAGTTGATGCATCTGGCATTGGTCAGTAAACGAAACGACTGTGTCCACAATGGAATATGAGACTATACTTACGTGCAAATGAAGTTCCAGGTTCGGTTGCTCAGGAAGTAGTTGGGATCTTCCCACACGGGTCTCTTCAACACCTCCTTCCAGTGCTTCAGATTGCGCCATGTCTCATCGGGGGTGGCGCCCGCAAATGGAGGGAAACCGGTGAGAGCCTCGAACAACATGCATCCCAAGCTCCAGTAATCAACAGTAAAGTCGTATTCCTCCCCTCTAAGGACCTCGGGGGCCATGTAGTCAGGAGAGCCCACAATCGACTTCGCATAGTTGACGTCCTGGTCACGCATGGTTCGGTAGCTCTCTCGTCGCTCAGCGACAGTTCGCTGATCGATAGGCTTGCCGAATGGAACAGCCGTCTCGGAGGCCTTCTCCAACTTGACGCGCATGGATTCGATTCTTGAGGGGGCCAGCATACCAGCAGCCAGACCAAAATCCGTGAGCTTGACGTGACCTGTCGAATCGACGAGGAAGTTTTCAGGCTTGAGATCGCGGTGGATGTAACCCAACTGGTGCAGAGCATCGACTGCACAGAACATTTCGGCGATGTAGAAACGAGCATGGCGGTTGGACAGCACACCGGTATTGTTAAGCAAGGTGCGGAAGTCACCACCTGGCACATACTCCATCGCAAGATAAATGCTCTTCTCATCCTGGAAAGAGTAGAGCAACCGAACAAGCCACTCACTCTGGGCGGTCGTAAGAATATCTCGCTCAGTCAAGACGTGTCGAACCTCGTCCAATTTGAAGAGCAGCTTCTTGCTCATGACCTTGAGTGCACATACTTCACGTGTGTCCTTCTTCTGAGCGAGAAAGACCTGGCCGTAGCCACCTTGTCCGACCTGGGTCAAGATCTGGAAGTCGCCTTGGCGGAGCCGGACTCGTCGCTTCCGAAGGTTGGCACGCTCTCGGCCAGTGTACTTGGACCACATTTGGTTGTGAGTCTGCTCATCGGTCTCGGGGGGGTCGGGGTACTCGGACTTGAAGGCGGCTAGTCGATTCTGTCGGGAGCCAACGTATGTAAGAAGATCGAAGTAGTAATCCAGGAAATCTGTGAGGTGTTAGAGAGCTAATCTGACTTTGGTGTCTGTGTTTCAAAACGTACAGAGCTGTGTAACGTTGACCATGCGGCGAACGTTGGGCTTCTGGAGGATCTCGCGCTCCTCGGCGGTCAGGCCTCGAGAAGTGTTAAACCTCTTGGCGGCGGGAGTCGTTGGTCGATCCTTGTGCTCATAGAGCTGTTGGCGGGAGAGGGCAGCATGGCTATGTTGATGAGGCGACTCTGGGGCAGGCATACGGCCTGCGGGTGGGGTGTTCTCCTGGCCCTGCTTCTTCAAAGGGCTGCTGGACTTGGTCTTGTGAATGACGCTATCGTCGACATTGACGCTCGATTCATCCAGGGGCTGGGCGTTGCTCTTGCCAGGGGAGAGCGGGGCGACGAGGCTCTGGGGACGGCCCAGCTTGACAGGGGCCTCGATGCTGGGGGTGTTGAGAGACATGGCCTGGTCAAAGGCATTGGGGAGGTCGTGGGCGCCCGGGGGTATTGTCTTCTTGCTGGGGCTTCCCTGGGGAGTGCTGGTGGGGTTGACGAAGTTGTCAGCCTTGGTGGGCGTCCCGGGGCGGGGGATGGGCATCGCCTCAGCGGCGCCCTTGTCCTTCCCGCCGGGGAAGAAGTTGGACATGAAGCTCGCCATTGTTTATGTTGCACGTCGTCGGGTCGGACAAGTGGGACGAGCGGTGGCGAAGTGAGGGTGATGGTGATGGTGATGGTGATGAGGGGATGAGGTAACTCGGAATCTCGGATGTTTATCTTGGTGGGTTGGGCAGCAGGCGGTCAGATAACGAGGTCCGTGGTCGACGATCAACAGATCAACAGACAGCGGCGAAAGACGAAGAGAAGATAAGGAGAGACGTGACAAAAGGAGCTTTCGTCCTCGACGAGGCCTGCGAGGCGATGGGGGAAAAGATGGATGAAGATCCAAGCTGTGGTCGCGGATGCAGCAGGTGCAGGTACAAGTGCGGCGCTGCGCTCCCCTCGTTGCTTTGGTACCTGGATCGATGAGGAATGTCATTGGTGGGCGGGGTGAAGAATCAACATGGTTGCAGCAGCAACAATCGACGTCTCTAACAATGGTGGGGTTGATTTACCCGAGAATCTGCCGGTCGAGTCTCACCTCACCCTAGAGCGAGATTGGGAAGCAACATTTATTTCCTCTCATTCCAGTCAACGTCACAAGGGCGGTTTACGACAAATCGCCTGTTTCGCACAACTCTGAGTTGTTTTGTTGTGATATAAGGTTGGTTCAATTGATGTACAAGGCGCGATTCCAAGGATCCGGATGGGTTGACAAAATGTTGGTCCCCAAAGTGAAGCCTGCGGTCATGTGACTAGCCTAGTTAGGAAAGGCGCAAGAAACCTTGGCAAATCATTTACATGCTGCATTCTGTTGCAGACAACCACCCATCCCCACGGCGTCCATATTGATCCCAGCCAACGCCTTACTTACTCACAACCAGGAGGTCTTCAATAGAGTAGAAATAGCCCAAAAAAATAGAAGTGAACTCTCGGAGGGACTTGAACCCCCAATCCTCCGAGTAGAAATCGGATGCCCTAACCATTAGGCCACGAGAGCTGATGAGATGATCAGACAGCTCAAATCTAAGGATGAGTACTGTCTGGCTTTTCGTGATCCTAAGGGCCTGATTTCGCATCCTCTGCGTTATAATCCGCTAAAGTCCACTTCTAACAACGGAAATACTCAATGAAGCACAGCGTGCTACCAAACATGCCATTCCTCAAACAGCCCCTCACTTAATACTCTATCGCCGTGTTAGAGTCTGCCGGGACTATAAGCGAGCGGAATTTGAAGGAATCCAATGAACAAACTAGGTCGAGGAGGACCTACAATAGCAAAGGAAATGAACAATCCGAAACATCAGCTCCGAATCACCTCTGCTGGAACCGGTATCACTTACAGGAGGTGTCAGATCCCAACAGCATGTTCGTCTTGCTAAAGAATGCTTATGCATTCTGAAACACTCCATTTTGGCAATTGGCACAGCGGCATGCCTCCTGACGTAAATAAACTAACCTCACCAGTTGCTTGATCTTGGTTTCAAGTTGGCGACAAAATATGTGCGTGGCTTCAACCCACTTACCACTTACTCCATCTTTGTTGAGATACTATTCTGTTACTCGGACGTAACGATATGCCATTTTGACCTTTGGGTGCTTGTAGCATTTCGAGGCGGACGTACCCAGAAGCATGATACATCAGCCTCTCTGATGCACCAAAGCCCTGAGTCAGACTCAGTAAGACATACGGGATTGTCTACTTCAACGGAGTGTTATTTTCCCTCTTCTTCAAGTATGCATCAAATTGCCCCATAGTTGTTTCGACAAATTGCTCAATCCCCTTCCCGTGTGATATCTTATGCCACTTCCTTCGTCTAATTAGCGCCCTCCAATAGACATCAGCATCGGTGTTCACATAATTTGACCAGAAGCGACCGCGAAGTTACGAGTTAGCGGGTAAACAAAAGGGAGGCTGTCCTTCATTGAATAGCTGCCATATCATTTTGTACTACTCGATTTCGTGAATGAGAGGATCCATCTGATCTTCAAGTAGCTCCTCGGCGCGGCGCTCATCGCGCTCGACCCAGCAGTGCGGCGACGCCACCAGCAAGCCAAGGCCCGACATGCAGATACTGAGCAGACATTGTGTTGGTGAACTCCAAGTCAAACACCGTAGGGATACAGAGTGGCTTGTGGTCGGCGAGCATGCTGAGGGGACCAAAGTCGTCACTGAAGCGGCTGAAAGAGTGATCGCTGTCGCCAATTTAGTGCGTCAGACCTAACTGTGTGAGGCGGCGGTGAACAGGAAACCTCCGACGGTTCTCATACTTGGTCTGACAGATGTTCCGTTGAGGCCAAGAGCTGCAGCATCAGACAGGAATTACGGTATGCGTAGGAAGGTACTTGAGCATGGACTTCGTGGATGCGTTTGCCTTGGCGATTTTCCGAACAAGCTAACCGAGAGCGATCAGGCCCTGTTAATACCCTGACTCCGATATCAGCTAACGGAAGCTCAAAGTGGTGTGTACCCAATTACCAATTACGTGCTGTAGCTTTGCGGGCTGAAATTCCTAAGCATCCGCACCACCTCGGAGGACTCGGGTAGCTGGGCTGTCACCACGCGACCAATAACATATGAGATGAACGACCTCGTGGCTGACACTTGATTCCCTTCACAATATCCTCTAGTTAGTTCAGGCACTCGAGGGCCACGGCCACGCTCTTAATGTTCTCAAGCAATAGTGTTGCTCAGGCAATGGTGACATCATTGGGGCCCTCGGAAGCTGTTCCAAGCCTCCTTCTGGCGGTACATCCATGACGGAGCGCCCTGAATTGTGATGGTACGAGGGGTATAACACATTTGCGGCAGGCTCTGTCAGTGAAAATAAATGTTCGGATAAAAGCAATCCCTAACCTGGCAGTTGGTCTTTCGCCGTCTTAGGAGACCGAGTCACAGTTTGACTTCTATATACTTAAAAGTATGGCTATCTGCACGCATACTCACTGTTATTCACACGCAGATGATGCGTCCCATTGTGAAGCAAATTCAACATCCCTTCCAGAAAAGAACAAGAAACAAACAAACAAGTAGCCTTATAATTAATAATAAGCCTTATATCTACTAATGAGTCTCATACCTATTCTTTGTACTGAATTGTCATACTTGTGGCCAATACTCTTCCCTCAAAATCAGAGGAGGCAAGTAAAGCGGTGTACCTAACTAAAAGTTATGGCAATGAGTGCAAATAGGAATGGGTGTGCGTGTGAATAGAAACACTCTAATACACTTATACGTGATCCCCACCACTCTCATCTCCATTCCGGAGCGTCTCACTGACGACAGGGGATTGGCCACCGCGGATTGGCCACCGTCCAGCAATGTGACTTTGTCCCCAATATCCGGTAAATCAGTTGACGGCCTGGTATGTGACGGGGCTGTGCTGTCCCAATTCACCGCCGACCAACCGTTACCAGCGATATAGACCCTTGGCGTCACTCGACAAAATGACTCGCCAAGTAAATAGTTTGTCCTTGGTAGCCACAATTCCTGGTGAGAGCTGCCTGCACTGTGTCTTGGCGTGTGACTGACTGAAGTACGGTATTGATGCGATTGACGAAGGTACTACGTACGGTTAGTCTGGCCCCTCAAAAGAAAGGTCCTTGCATGGCATGAAAAGTGGCCCTGCGAAGTTCGGCTGACGATGGAATCACGTCCACCAAACCCTGCGGCGCATTTCGCCAAGATGCTCGTAAACTCTTCATATCCACACGCAAGCGTGAGTGAATTATCTTCTACGAACGCGATGATTTAAATGCCTCGATCACATCATGCCATCTGGGGGGCAGGTCGTCCCAAGTCGTCCTAAGACGTCCCAACAGCCAGTCAACGGTGCAACGGCCATAACCGGTTTCGGCCGGCTAGACCGGGATCTAATCTTATCAATCTAGCCTCGGCGGTGATACTCCGACCGTAGCATCATCATGGGATCAGGGTCACCAGCTAGCGCGCGGCCACCTCCGCCTAGCCTGAACGTTTTGGGCCATGTCGCCAAGCTTTGTCGCCATACTTTACTGTCTCCCCTCGTCCGTCCCTCTTCTTCTTTTCCCTCCAGTTTCCCCCGCCCATGACGAACTTGATCCAGCTTGTCTCTGTCTCGACGACACCCTAGAGCCTGGTCGCATCAACCTTAACTCTACGCGCCACGAACCAAAGACTTCACCATGAAGTTTACCTACGCCGTCGCCGGCCTGGCTGCGACCGCGCACGCCTTCAGCCCCGCTGACAGCTTTGCCAAGGATGCTGAGACCCAGGAACACAGGATCCCGACTACCTTCGAATCTGCCGTCATCGCCCGCCGTGTTCTCGCCCTCACCAAGCTCGCTACGATGTCGACCATCTTCCCTGGCAAGCACTCCGATGGCAAGGCCAACGAGGCCGAGTTGGGACTCGAGGGCCTCCCCATTGGCATGATGGACTACGTCGCCGACTGCGAGGAGGAGGGCGACCCTACGATCCTCGAGATCAAGATCGCCACGACATTTAAGAATGCCCGCGCTGGGTCCAACCTTACGGTGTCCATGAACTGGGTTCCTCCCTACCCTCCGTCGAGGCGCATGGGTTTCCTCTCACGCCTGTCGGCCTACATTCCGTTTCTCCCGAGCTCCGAGTATAACACTCCGCAATCGAACACGCCCGACACGGTGCCATACTCGGCAGCCAACCTTCCCCGCTTCTCGCTCATCGGTTATCTCGAGGACATCACCCCCGACCCCATCTCGGCCGTGAAGCTTGCCGCCTGCTTCACCTTCAAGCACCCCGATGCCAAGTACTGGCTCCCAGGCAACGCCATCCACCAGAGCCAATGGTCACGACTGGTTGTGACCAAGGTCTACTTCGTCGGCGGCTTTGGGGACAGGGCATACATTGGCTGGATTCCAATTGAGGAATGGAAGTCTGTGACGAGGAGCGACTGGGAGGCGATCAAGCTGCCCGGTGAGGAGAAGGGCTGGAGTGAGTGGACGGTTAATCAGGCGGGGGACCTCTGATGGCATGACTTTACCATCTTCCGCTGGATTGGGCAATGGTGTGGCACGCATGTTTTTCTGTTTTTGATGAGTTGATTTGCCCTTATCAAATTGGATCTACGGCACTTGATGCTTGCACTGGGTCGGCCTATTGTAGTTACGCGCGGCCAGTTGACAGAGCAATGGAGAGCCCTCAGGGCAAGGCCTGCTCTTTTGCGTTTGCGCCTCTATTCTATGCACCTTATTCACGGACCTCTTTGTTTGAGATGGCCTGTAGATAGCCGAGTGAGTGATTGAGTAGTACTTAACGTCCCTGTTTCACGCATTGGCCATGTCCGTTGGTCAGGCCACGAGCGAGGCTTGTGACACACAGTGACGGGGATACGGGTGTACGAAATGCGACGTAATTAGTGCCGGGGCATGTTGGGCTTGGCACGAGTGGTGTGGTCGCTGGTCACCTGCAGCAAGCTCAAGCTGGGAGTTGTGAGACGCCGCCTGAGCATGGCGCCCCAACTGCTCAGTTGTGACGCGGTTGTACGGTCGGCGGGTTGATCCCGGCATACTCTGCCTGAAGAGCTCAAGGTACGTCAGACGGATAGGCACAGCGGATAGGCACACTGGGCTTGACAGAGATAGATGAGGGAGACATTTATGCAAACACCGAATGTCGGACAGAGATATGGGATGACACTGGAACGGTTTTGAACTTGACGATGAATCATGGAGTAAAGCCGGATTGGTTCATTCGCCGGAATTTAGCCATTAACAGAGAGGGCTATGATCTTGTGCTCCTGGTCTGCTCTGGCATCACGGATAGGCGAACCCAACTTCTAAGAGGTCCCCCGCCTGATTCAAGCCCCTCTCCTCACCGACAGACAGGAAGGCATCAAAGCTTGCGGTAAAGAAGGTAACCCATCTCATCGGCGCGCCAACAACCCAGATGGAACTAGGTTTGTGGTCCAACCGCCTTGATGCATTCCGCAAGTGGACGGTAAATCAATGGAGCTACATACCCACAATGATCATAAATGG